ACCAACCATAACATAAAATAAATTAAACAAAAGCCCAATTCTATTATAACAATGTTTAAAAGCCCAACTCTATTAAACTTATAGCCAAACAACACTAAACTCTTTATTACTACTATTTAAGTTTCCAAATAAACCTAAAGAGTACTACAACTTTAATAAGATAGATTTGCTTTGAAGTGTAGATTGTACAAAGCATGATCCAGAAGTGAACGAAGACACAGAGAAGAACTATGCTGAACTTCTAACAGAGGAACTGAAGCTGCGTGAAGCAGAATCTTTAGAGAAACATAAACGAGCGGACATGGGGCTGTTAGAGGCCAAGAAGGTAACTTCGTCATACCAAAAGGAAGCAGATAAGTGCAACTCGGGTATGGAAACATGCGAAGAAGCTCGAGAAAAAGCGGAGCTAGCACTCGCCGAGCAGAAGAAGCTAACATCTAAGTGGGAAGAGAGAGCTCGTCAAAAAGGATGGAGAGATGGAGCTACCAAGTCTAATACTAAAACCAAAAGCAATGTTCAAGCTGCTGCTTAGGTAATTCCAGAATCACTTGTGTAACTGTGTATTAGATTCCAACTATTATTATACTTGGGTTACAAGAGTATGAACTTAGCATCAGATGCGGAATATGCAGAATTCTTCTCAACATAGCTTCGCATAGTTAACTTCCTTCACACGACATATAGGCTTTTTATTTACCTTAATTTTGTAATAGTTCATATTCATAATCATCATATTCAGTGTTTGTATGACCTAAAGCGTGACTGGCATGGCGTTCATATTTCCACGTTGTCGGTTTAGGTCTGGATCCGGTTATTAATATCCGGTTCATGTTTGGAATGTATGGCCAGACTTCTCACAGCCCCAAATATAATAAGTTGGTCCAATTTCATATCCTCATGGTCGGCAACATTCCATAATCAGAAAATAGTATTAAATCCGCCGCAAACTAAGAAAACAAACAATACAATTTTCACAATATAATGAGCAGTTTTGTTCAATATATTACATGATGAGATGTTGTCAATTTCGCACCTATAGTAATTTTTAATTCAAACACTAGATCTATTATTATCAATCGACCACAAGACCAAGGTCGTTTTCACTAGTAAAAGTGGTTTAAATCGTAGGGGTTATTTTTTATTATTGATAATCATGACTTTGAATTTTACTCTTTGGAGAAAAATGAAGGTAGAATTTTCCTGTCTCATTTCTAAAAGGTCAACAGAAAAATGCAACTTTATAAGTAACTTTTGTCTCTTTGTATTTCATATTATTGATTATGATATTCAGTCACACAAAATCATATCTCTATTCAAAGCTTCATCATTCTGCTTACGAACACTTTCACCTTAAAGCTTCATTATAACTCACGCGTAAGTAGCAAACTCTTGGAAAATGTTTTACGTTTCACATGTCCAAAAAAAAGGATCAACCAAAGATTACAGCTGATATTATTAATTTAGTTAATAATTTTCTATATGTGTGTGAACTCCCCCATATTTATGGCCACTGGATATTTTTATTTTCCTTTGAAGTTGAATTTCAAATCGTTGCATCTATAATCAATACTCACTTTTAAACCGGCCATGTTTAGGTGGGAAGTGGGGTTCACCGTTTTACCTTTGTATTTATCATATCCTGTCCATTGCAAATTACTGACAGCTCCACAAATATTTGTCCTATTTTCTTTTTCGTAGATCTTTAAGTAAGAGCATGTCCATTGGGGAGTACTTAACATAAGGTCCTTATCAAAAGTGAAAAAAAATAAATCAAAAAGCCCGAATTAATGCAGTACCGCTCCTCAAATGAGGCTTTTTAGTTTTGTTAGGGAGCCCTATCGTGGCTTCTTCTCATTGGCCGTCCATCAATTGCTGTCTCTCTTCTTCGTCGCGAGAAAGCATTCAACTTTTCTCTTCATTCTCGACTTCTCCGTCTTCTCTCTCGAAACTCCTTGTCTCTCTTTGATCTCGTCGTCGCAGTATCAAATCTCGTCGTGTCTCTCTCGAATCTCATCGTCCCTCTCTCGAACCTCGTCTTCTCTCTCTCGAACCTTGTATGAAATCTCGTCTCGATCTCCTTAATCGTCATCCTTTTGATTTGATCTTTAAGTTACTGCTGTCTCGAGTTTGGTTTATCTCTCATTCTCTGTTCATGATCCCCTGTTTTGTCTTCTTACTCCAGAGGTTATAGTGAAGATTAGAAGATAGAAGCTTTAAGAGAAAACACAGCTGAGGGAAGGATAAAACTCAGACTAGACGGAAGATGAAGAAGAGGAAGAACCAGCAAGATAAATTTAAACTTCCCTTGTCTTTTAAAAAATAACTTATAAAAACTGATGTCGATGGTGATTGTTTTATAGTATTATAGTTTTGTTGACTATTGAAAAGATTGAATGATTTTTTCTGGTAATCGATATGCTTAAGTTATCCTCTGTTTAGTATAAGGTTAGCGATGGTGGGAATGATTGTTTGTGCTTCACATGTTCACACGAACCTTTTTTAGTTTTCTGTTTTAGTTTTCATTTATCTCATTACAGATATGTTGTTTGAGTGTTAAGTTGTTTGTGTCTTAAGTTGTTTCAGTCGAGTCTTTAAGTTAAAGACTTTTTTTGTCTTTAAGTTGTTTGTGTCGAGTCTTAAGTTGTTTGTTAAGTCTTTTAAGTTAATTGCATTTGCGTTTGTATGCTTTCGATGTTTACGGTTAATGGATGTCTATGGTTCTGCTATGATGTCTCTGTATTTCATAAATTGAGATTTGGTAATGGATGTATTGCAGGTGGAGTGAAGAATAAAGCCAATACGCCAAGACATGAACAACTTGTAACAGAAGGATTCAAGACCACATGTGACACAAGAGAACACTCCGTACGTGAAGAGAACAAGAAGAAAAAGAAACTTTGCAAGCTCAAATACAATTTGTCTCAAGTTCCAAACCATTACCATTTCTCTCAAGCTCAAATACCATTTCTCTCAAGCTCAAATACAATTTCTGCTAAGTTCAAATACATTTCTCTAAATTATTGTATTTAAAAAGAAAAAAATGTTTAAGGATTCCATAGGGGTACTCCCATTGGAGGAGTAAAATTATTTCCACTAATTTAAGTCCTTACTTCACAAATCATATTATTTTCTTTTAATTTAATCATAAGTACCCCATGTTAAGGAGCCATGGATGGAGATGGTCTAATTAGCTAAAATAATGCTAATTAATTTTCTTTATAATTGTACTCTTGGATACAACGTAAGCTATAGTTATCAAAAACGCTGTATTATGACCAGATGTTTTTTTGGCTAATTGCCATGTTACCATTTAAATCTTACTATGGTAGAATGCTTGTGAGAAAAAGTAAAATGCATGTTGCTGCGAAAAAACAATAGTACTAACAAATAAACTTCAATAGTTTATTATAGTCACGTAATATATTTTTCTTAAATGGCACCCCATGCTTGTGTAAGAATACAAATTTATGTTGACAAAGAAGAAACTTTATGAAGTGGACCATAGATGTCTACACCTAATCCCTAAATAAAATGCAAATATATACACCTCTTAACACCACATATGGAAGTTTGTGCAGATCACAAGTTCATATTTCTCAGAGTCATACCCTGTCTCTTTCTCAAAACAAAAAGAAACAAGCTCCTTACTAAAGTTAGAATATGAATCCGGGTCGTCTTCTTTGTCTCATTGGTTTTCTCTTCTTCCTCGCTGTTTTATCTAAAGCTTCAAGAATTCATGTTGAAAGACGACGCTTCTCCTCCGAATCTTTACCTAGCCAAGAAAGAGGGTTTCTCCCTTCTCAACACACTCAGCCGGTCGTCGGCGCCGGTGGAATCTTACCGGAGAAACGGAAGGTTAAGACGGGATCAAATCCTTTGCACAACAAGCGATGAGGAAAAGTCAGATAATTAGTCGTCTTCCTAAACACTCTTTGTCTCTATTTGCTTACTTAACCACAGAGATATCCATCACATATGTATACCTACTACTATACATATATTAATGTAGGATTTATTCAATCTTTCTTTATTTTTCATTTATATTCTCAATACTTAGATGTTTATAAGATAATAGAGCATGAATAAATCGATACTAGGTGTTTTGCCCGCACTTGCGGGCTTAATAATTTTATAATATCTATAAATAAATATATAATCAATTTATGTAAATTATAATAAATTATTGTTCATAGACTCAAAATATTTAATAATAAACTAAAGAAATTCTTTCTATATATAAAATTTTTTATCATCATATAAATAATTTTCATTACACAGCTTAAATTTGGAAATACTCATAAACTTAAAACATTTAGTAATATATTAATATCAATTTTAGACATAACAAAAAAGTATAAAAAATTATCTTTAATAATGTTTTGGATAACACAATATAAATCATCTATACATAAAGTCTTTGCAAACTGATTTTTCATAATTAACTATATATTAACAAATAGAATTGTTTTTCAACGTTAATAAAGATTTTATAACACAATATAAAAAAGTTAGATAAAGATAATTATTAAATTCATGAGATTCATTTTTCAATTTAGAATTAATTATATGTTAACAAATATAATTATTTTTCAAGGTTGATAAAGACTTTATCACATAATATAAAAAAAATAAAATAAGGATAATTATCAAATAAATGAAATTCGTTTTTAATTTATAATTAATTATATATTAACTAATATAATATTTTTCAAGGTTAATAAAGACTTTATAACCCAATATAAAATAGTTTTAGATAAAGATAAATCTAAAATCATTAAAATTCGTTTTTTATTTATGTTTAATTATATTAAATTTTTTAATTATTCATTAAGGATATAAACATTATTAACCGCTCTAACTTTCAACGTGAGAACTCTGTTGCAAAAAATCATTCACAAATAATAGTATAGATTACCTAAATCATAGAAAGTTACAAATTAATCAGCAAATTCACTTATATTTAATAATTGAAAATATATTTTTAAGATAACAATCTAATATAAAAGAATTAATATATTTTCTAAAAATAAAATATTATTAACATAATTTTTTTTTATAATAAATTATTAAAACATGAAAATAAGTAAAATAACCTAAAATCATGGAGAAGTTGACAACTAAGCAAAATTACTTTTAAAATAATAATTGAAAAATATATTTTTAAGATAACAATCTAATACAAAAGAATTAACATATTTTCTAAAAATATAATATTATTAACATAAATTCGTTTTTATTATATAATAAATTATTTAAACATAAAAATAAGCAAAATAACCTAAAATCATGGAGAAGTTGACAACTAAGCAAATTTAATTTTCAAATAATGTTATAGATTTCTAAAAATAAAATATTATTAACATAATTTTTTTTATAATAAATTATTAAAACATGAAAATAAGTAAAATAACCTAAAATCATGGAGAAGTTGACAACTAAGCAAAATTACTTCTAAAATAATAATTGAAAAATATATTTTTAAGATAACAATCTAATAAAAAAGAATTAACATATTTTCTAAAAATATAATATTATTAACATAAATTCGTTTTTATTATATAATAAATTATTTAAACATAAAAATAAGCAAAATAACCTAAGATCATGGAGAAGTTGACAACTAAGCAAATTTACTTCTTAAATAATGTTATAGATTGTTACATACAGCCTTATTTCATCCTTATTTATTTTCGATTGAAGAACAAATATTATGGCTCTCATTAGCAAAATAAAATAAAATAAAATAAAGACAAAATTAATGGGTATTTTTAGGGCTGTGCATCATTACTGATACTCGCTTTATACCCGTTACTTGACCCGTACTCGCCTTGAAAATCTAAGTACTCGGTGTTGCCAAGTCGAGTAACAAATCAACAAATTTTATTACTCGCAAAAGCAAGTATCAAATATCATTTTATTTTTTAATACTTGATTCGTTACTTGGTATTCATTACTTTTATAAATACTCGTTACTCATTCTACAAAATATTTGTTACTTGATAATTATACTTGTCTTGATTTGATATTAGATTCATACCAATATTAATTTAATAAACATGACAACTCATTACTAAATAAGATATTAAACTCGTTACTCAGTTTAAACTCGGTTATTTATTATATGCATAATTTTTGTTTTAAAGTAATTGTATGTTCTTTTTATTTAAATAAATAAGTAAACCTTCATGTCTTTTTTGGTGTATGATTATTTAGTAATTAATTTTTAAATACTCAAAATTACACATAAATAATTTACATGTACTCGTAAGTAGCAAGTAATAGAGCGAGACAAGTAACTTCCAAGTAATTGATTTTTAATCAAGTATTCGAGATAGCAAGTACTCATTTTTAATAAAACAAATACAAGTCATAATTTTATTACTCGTATAAGGCAAGTCAAATATCAAATACAGGCAAAATAGCAGGCCTTGCGCCAACCCTAGATGTTTTTTCTTCTCGTTTGCCAAAACTAGACATGTCAATTACTACTAAAGTCCAACTTTATAAATGAGTGGACTTGGGCTTCCCAAAAAAATTGGGCCTTTCAAACTTAGTCTAGGATTTTAACCATTTTGAGCTTATACATTTTGACTAGACCCGAAAACCTAATATTTATAATTTAATTTATTTAATTATTTATTATTAATCCTTATTTTTAAAATAATTATAGAATTAATACTCATGTTTTAAATAAATATAGAATGATTATAGTGTCAAAGTCTAGTTTTAATATTGTTGTTAAAAAAATTAAAAGTTTTTTCCTATTAAAATATGTTGAAATATTGATTTGTACACATATTTAATTGGAAGGATTTGCATTCAAATATTCAAGAATATATTGATATTTATTAAATTTATATATATATATATATATATCAAATTTTAATATTTGTATATTTTATATGTAGTTTCTGATGATATTGAGAATTTGGAAGTCAGTAATAAACATAGTAATAAACATTATGATCTTGATATTAATCGAATAATTAATTGCAGGATGTCAATCGGGTTGGTCCGCCCGACCCGACCCCCGCCCAAAACCTCAGTCCAGCTTGGCCTATAAAAGTTTTGGATCTAAATTTTAAAATCGGATTAAAGAATTTTTTTTGGACTTTTCAGACTTTTACGAAAATAAATTAAAATTAAATACAATAAATTAAAATCAGAATAAATTTAACCCCATTAAACAATCATTTATTTGTTTATAAAAACCAAATATAAAAGTTTTCTTTTCTAATAAACCAAATAAACAGTAATATTGAATATTAATAAAACAATTTTTTGACCTAAACGAACAATTATTCAACATTGACTTGGGACACCGACGTCGTTCGTATCGTCGAGTCTCTCTCTCTCTTTCTCCGACACAGTATGAACAAAGAGATATGAAACATGAGTCCTGGAAGCGGTTGTTCAGTGAACTAAGACGAATCAGAGATCTCTGATTTGTTATATCTGACTTAGAAAGCAGATACTGTCACCATGAGTAAAACAAGATGAGATTGGTTTGCAAATGTATACAGGAGTTGATTAGAAGTTCAAAAATAGAACTCTGAACAAGTCATTCTTTTGCTACTTGTTTGATTGATGAATAAAATGATCATTAGCTTTAATTATTTAAAGTAAACACGAAATTACAAAGAGTGCACTCAAAAGTTGCTACAAACTTGTTCAAAGTGGGACAGAGAACAAAATGAAAGACTATGAGGATCGAGAATAGCAGCAAGGGGTTACGAGAATTGAGGTTATGAATTGCTTTAGAAGCATGAGATAAAATGCATCATTAGCTTTGATTTTTTAAGTAAACACAAACATACAAAAGAGTCTGAACTCAAAAGTTGCTACAAACTTGTAGAAAGCGGAATAGAGAAAGAGAGAGCAAAATGAAAGACTATGAAGAACAAGAATAGCAGCAAGAAGTTACAGGAATTGAAGGTATATTGCATAGCTTTTGAAGCATGAGATGATTGCTTTGACGGTTTCAGATGTAGTGTATCTTCCCTGAAGCAACTCTTTTGAAGAGGAAGGCCACATAGATCGATATTCCCTTTAAATGAAGACTCAGGTTGCCCTACAATTTGTGTACCCTGTGGTATTTGGCCAGTGAGTTTGTTGTATGACATTTTAATATACACCAAGAACGAGAGTTTCCCTAACTCTTGTGGAATTGTCCCAGAGAGTTGGTTTCTAGATATATCAAGTGACTCAAGCCTTGTGAGGTTCCCCAAAGACAATGGAATATGACCGGTGAAACCGTTGTTGGCTAAGTTGAGCATCATCAGCGACGTCAAAAGACCTATGGATTCTGGAATCTGTCCTTCAAATCTGTTTCCAGAGAAATCAACGGCTGCATAAATGTTTAGGATCCTAATAAACTCCATGGTTACTCCTTTAAAGTTCATAAGCATGGAAGGATGAAATCCAAGAGAGTAAGAATCTCCCATGAATAGCGGTCGCGGGCCATTATTTTCAAGCTGACCACTACTAATGGGTGCACCCCAATTCACAAAGTAATTTGGTGGGAGGCTCCCGTCGAACATGTTACTCGATATGTCAATTATCAGCAGTTTCGAAAACGTCAGGGGATATTGAGGAGAAGATATTGGACCGTAGAATCTGTTTGATCGTAGGATAACTACTTGCAGATTCGGCAAATCCTTCAACCAGAAAGGAAACGAGTCTTTGATGTGATTCCTCTCCACGTTTACAAACTCTAGACTTTTGCAATGTACAAGTGACTTTGGAAGTTTCCCACTTATTTGGTTGTGGCTGACGTCAAGCATCTTCAGTGAGTTGTTGGAGAATGTGTCGGGAAGGCTTCTAAGGTTGTTGTGATGGAGATTCAACACTGTGATAGATCCACTCAAGCAACCTGGAACCGAACCAGTTAAACTGTTGTTCGAAAGATCAAGGAATAATAGGTTCCTTGGATTGCACAAGGAAAGAGGCATCTCTCCTGT